ATTCGGAGCACTAACGGATTTGCTCAAAATACCATCTTTGGTAATATAGGTTAAACTAATTTACTTTTATTTAAGTATAGTAATTGAAATACACAAAAACATAGTCCGGCAAACAGGTCAAAAAACGTCCGTTATTAATTCGTCAACCCATTTTTTCAGAAATTTCTTAAATTTTGAACTTTCCAAAAATTTTGCATAAGGATCACATTTTCAAATAACATTTTAAAGTAAAACTCATAAATTATTTTTATCAAAATTATTTTCTAAAATTCATTTGAATAACAACGTGAAGTATACATTACATTTTCTATAACAAAACAATTATTTACCTAATTAAAAACATGAAATTTTAAACTAAATTTCGATAGTTAAATATAACAACTATTTGTTATAATGACCATTCAATAATATTTAAAACTAATATATTTAAATTAATATAATATCATTATAATATAATTATACTAAATTATTTTTTAAAATTTAATAAAAAAATTTAATAATATGGTATAAAATATTATAATTACTGGCAATTATTTAAAATATAAATATAAAAAATATTACTTGAAGATGAAAATAATTATTTAAGTAATAGTTAAAAAAATTTTTGTTGTTTTTTATTATGTTTATTTAAACTTTTTTGTTATCATTACGACTTGTTTATTCATTAATTTATTTGAAATACATTAAATAATAGAAAAAAAATGATAATGTTCATAAAATAGAGTTAAAAAAACTTAACACTTAAAATAATACCCTTGTTTTTTTCAATTGACATATTTTTATTGAAATATTAATCCAATTTTTGATGATTTCCCCGTTTTGGTTTGTGTATTGTTTATGCACATAATATAAACTCACAAAAACTAGTAATTTATTTATCAAATTCTAGATTTCCCAGTTTTTAAACCGCTTGAATTTTGTTCAATTGTATTTAATGTGTTTATATATTCGACATTATTATTTCAAAATTTTACAGTTTATAAAACAACAAACACTTATAATTAAATAAATTATAATTATATATTACCTAACTATTATAGCTTTTTAATTTATTTCTTACAATAATATATCGTTTACAATTAACCAATTATTTAATTATAATAAAAAACAGATTGAAATGTCTCAAGTTTTTTAATATTACAGTTTGCACAATATCCCGTTTTTTAACATCAAAAACGTTACTGTTATCAAATATTACACACTGAAAAATGGATATGTCATTCCCATAAATAGAATATACCTTTTTAAACAACCAAAAGAGTCTTCAACCATTCATTACCAATGTACACACAACAAGTACAACAAG